TTTTGAATTGAACAACTGGGGAATAAAAAACTTTTGTTGGATATTCCCATTTGTGGTATGGAAATACACCTGTACATATATTACATATGAGAACTTCAGTGATTTTATCTTTCCTAGCACATTGCTAATCATTTTTTTAAGAATTCCAATTAAATAAATGACTGTATCACTTTGAAAAATGTATTCCTCGTGAAACAAAACAAAACACCTACAAAGAGGAAGTATAATACTCAATTTAGAATGTATATGTAGTTATGCAGTCACAGGAATATGCCACATGCTGTGGTTTACTTTTCGATATAACACGACTAAAAATAAATGTGACTTGTAACTGTGGAAAAAATGATTTCAGACATTTTCACGCCTACACAACGGACCGATACCACTCAAAATACTTTTTATGGCCTGATGGAAACTTAACATTTTCGAGCACGCTTCCTTTTTGACGAGCGGTACATGAATGCAGCGCCACTTGCGTTTTCCACACTGACGCGCGGCAAGTGAAAGCACCGCACCTTCTTCCTTTTTTTTTTTCTGAACTTGATCGCTGATTGGCTGCCCGTGACATCATCGCTGCGCGTGCGCGCGGCTGAAGGCAGTTAGAAGCCGCGGTTTTAAAGCGGCAGACCCTCTCCCATCCGCTCTCCTCCCCCCTCCTACTCCTCCTCTGGCCCAGAACCAGACGTCCCGGCTAAGGCCCCTCCCATTGCAGGGCGGGACCTCACTGTACCCAAAAGATACATTTAATATTAATGAAGTCGCGAATTGGCTCCAACTCACGTCAGTCCTGCTGCGCGACTACTGGAGGCTGGCGGACTTCCTTCAACACTATTTCTGGGTAACGGGGTAAAAGTAGCCCCCAAAAAAATGTTGCCGATCCACTGAGCGGGGACTCGCTGAATGGAGGCAGCCCCGTCATCGAGCGGACATAGTGAATTACTGAACCCCCGACAGCAACACACACACCGGTAAGCAGAAATCCGACGCAAGTTTGCCAATTACAAGTTGATGGAATGACCGCGTGGATTTCACAGTCTTACTAGCATGAGCGAAACCATCCTCGCGCAGCCGTTTCGGTGATATTTTGTGATGTTAACATGTTGCTTTTTAGAGTTTTAAGTTTGCAACGCGAGCGTTTGGGGGTACTGAATTCAATTATTTTGATTTCATATTGTAGCGGACGATGCTTAGGCGCTCATCTCTGTGTGAACCCCACGTTATATTCACAGCACGTCCTCATGGCGAGTTTCTTCAATGAATTTGTCCATGAATGATTTCTATTTGCTGTGCTGAAGGATGACCACGGCAGGCAGAGTGCATGCATTCATGCATGCACTCAAGCAAGCAAGCATCCATGGCGGTGGTCCTTACATAACGACCCAGGATGACAGGCTCTTGAAACGCTTTGCATTTGGAAGGAATTTACCGTCCATCTTGACGTCTCTTCACTTGTGGGAGAGATCAAACTGCAGTGTTGCAGTCTTTTCTGCTGTTATCTCACCAAAAGCAAAAGCTTGGGATAAGACATCATCAAATTGGCCATATTAAAAAAGCATGACGCTAACAAGAGGTTGATTCAAATTGAATTACCTCAAAGTGATTCACTTGAAAGACTCCGCTGTTTGTTCTTATTAGTGTGGGTGTTGCCACTTGTAATATTTGGCTTCAGGAGCCGCTGTTGATCACATAGGCTCGCGTGCTGATTCACAGTCTTGAGCTCGCTGTGCGAACGCACACTTGGTTGAACCGAGCGAGGCCTTGAAAATCTTTTTTTTTTCTCCCTTCCGGCGTCAGAGCGGCGTGTTGAGTTCTCCGTAGACGTCCAGCCCTCGGCCTCCCCATGCCTCCATCTCCCCTCGACGACAGAATTGTGGTGGCGCTGCCAAGGCCGATCCGACCTCAGGAACTCCGACTGCGACTGGACACCAGCTACCTGGATTCCATCGCCTCCACCAGCAGCGACAATACGGTCCTCAGCGCCACCGTGGTGAAGATTCGGGCGACGGCCAATCTTGTGACGTATATGCCCTCATCCAAGGGTTCCACGCGCTCCTTGTCGTGTGGATGCAGCAGTGCCAGCTGCTGCTCTGTGACCACCTATGAGAAGGACAGCCCCAGCCTGAACCACGGTCAGGTGAGCGCCAGCAGCCCCAACCTCAGCTATGCCGGACCCCCTATGCTCAGCAACCACGAAGCGTTAAGCGCCTCCAGCCACGCCCCGGGCGCACCAAAGGCGCACCCGTCCACCACTGTGAGACTCATCCACCCCAATGAGCTGGCCAAGCGGATGACCTGCTGCCCCATGGGTCACCCCGTCGGGCCCGTGCCGGTCATCATCGACTGCCGGGCCTTCACGGAGTACAACAAGAGCCACATCCGGGGGGCGGTGCACATCAACTGCTCTGACAAGATCAGCCGGCGGAGGCTGCAGCAGGGAAAGATCACTGTGCTGGACCTCATCTCCTGCCGGGAGGGCAAGGACTCGTTCAAGGGCATTTTCTCCAAAGACATCGTGGTCTACGACGACAGCACCGCCGACCCCAACAGGGTGGCGCCCTCGCAGCCTCTCCACGTGGTCCTGGAGTCGCTGAGGAGGGAGGGCAAAGACCCCATCGTTCTCAAAGGTGAGTGAATTGGTCGAGGCGGGGCAAACGGCAACGCAGGGCGGGCCGGGAACGGAAAGGGGGGGGGGGGCTTTCCAGCATATGAAGGGATTGAAAGTGCAATTTCACGGGACTTAGTTTGACTCTGGGGCCACTAAATCATTCTCGACGTCCGAGAGCATTGAGCGGTTTCGCAGCACTCGGAGCTTGAGCGCCAATATCAACCGAGACGAAGCCCCGAGAGTTTGCATAATCGTGTGCGGTGTTTGTGTAAAGCCTGTTAAACTTTGACCTTTAGCGCTCTGATCAGCTGACCGCGGCCTGCAGGCAAATGGCTCGTTTAATCGCGTGGAACGGCGCAGCGTAAAATGACTTCTTGAGCGCCCCGCCTCACGTTCGCATTCTTCACCAGCGCTCTCGCGTTTACATTCTCGTTGACATCAATTCAGAGGAGTGCGTGTGTGTCTGTGAGATGGGACCTTGTGATTTCCCAGAAATGTTGTCGGAGTGAAAATTTTGAAACTGGTAAAGGTTTCGGCAGTTTATGTGAATAAAAAATGTCGCATCGTGATGTACATCTGCACACTTCCTGGTTAAATTGTTGACGAGTCATCAATGTACACAATCATGAACGTCAATCTGTGTCTGGCACGTGATGGTTAGCATCAGTTATTAGGAATAACATAATTCGGGGTGATTTGAGTCAATATCAGAAATGGATATTGAACCGTAATCCATACCCAAGAATTAGCTTAGCGTGCAAAAGTTTGTTCGGATGTTCGTCTCTTCGCACCCGTGGTTGAGATTGCTCCTTCTTTTGGAATCGGGGTCTCCAAAAAAGCCAAAGAAAAAGCTGAACAGGTGATCCTTTGCGATGATATGCTCACACGCTTCCAACACAACGTCAGTTTTCTGTAATAACTCTTTTTTTTTTTATTTTTTATTTTTTTTTTATTTATTTATTTTTTTTTATAAAAAGCTGGCTCTCCATTGCAATCATCCGACACGCAATCAGAACCGCCTCCATCCTTAGGACCGCAAAACACGTAACCTCTCTTGTGGTACATGAATATGGGAATGACTGACTTCCTGTTTTCATCTCATGGGTGATTCGCACATACACCCCCCCCCCATCTCATTATTTTTTTTTTCACAGGCATGCAAATGTCCTGTACGTATAACACTGGCACTGCTTTCACGGGCAACACTGGAGGCGAGCGAATGACGTCTTGGTTGACCGATTTTTGACCTCGCCTTCAACTAATCAACTATTCTCTATCAAAGACCCGACACGGGACGCGGGACACTCGGCTGCCTTGCTTTGAGACTTTTCTCTGAGGCCCCAAAAGCTCCATTCATCATTCGCCGTCCCGAGCACAGTGATGAGATTCACATGAGGCTAAAATTAAACGGGAGCGCTCGGTTTTATGAAACGCGCGCTTAAAATATTTGCCGTGGATTGATTGCGTTGCCCGCCCTTTCCGAAATGAAAAGCACCGTGCTTGGGTATGCTCCCCATGCGGGGATAAAAGCGGATTCAGTTTTGACCTCTGATGTAATGCTCATCTGAAGTCTGCAGGAAGCACACAAAATCAATATCGCAATGTATAATATCAATTTCTCCGACGCAAGCTTGAAATAATCCATATCAGGGAGGCGGAATAGAAATTTGATGACACTCTTCACAAACACAGCAATTAGACAGCTTGATATGGGACGGAGCATGTTAAAAAGAACTGCGAAGACTGTTTGTGGGCAAACTATCGCGATGCTATTCTATGTTGTTCTACCCCAATTAGCAGGTGACATTTGTGCATGCGTGTGTGTGTGTGTGTGTGTGTGTGTGTGTGTGTGTGTGTAAGAGAGCGGGGGAGATGTATGACAACCATAAAGTAACTCGCCACCTGCCCAGGCACCAAAAGAGGAAGCTGCAAAGCTGTGCAATGACCTCGCATTAAATCATGCATCAATTATTGCTCTGTGAACAATATGTGCACTGACAATGTGTGTGTGTGTGTGTGTGTGTGTGTGTGTGTGTGTTTCCACACGACTCGACGCTATTACGGGTGACAGGTGCAAACCAGTTATATAGGGGGCAAAAGTTCAGCGACGGGCGTCGTAAAAATGGTGTCTGTATTAGCCATTGTCCGTCAGCTATTGTGGCAAAATTTCCCCCTCCTAAAATACGCTCCGATATGCTTTGCGTCAACAAGAACTACACGTGTTGCGTCGAACGATCGTGCCGAAGAGGAGCGGTCGATTTTTTTTTTTCACTAAAGTTCACCGAGTGTGACGAATCCCGTGAAATCGGGAGAAATGGGCGTCGCCGAGGTCAGCCGGAAGAAATGCACTGTAATTAAAAGCGAGAAGAAGAGGCAGAGAAGATCCCCAACTGAGCTCCGCTAACAGTCGTCGTCGTCGTTTTCCAGGAGGCCTTAGCTGCTTCAGGCAGAGCCACGAGAACCTGTGCGACCACTCGCTGCACCTTCACGAAGGTCCGGACTCGGGCGCGGCCGCGGGCCTCTTGGGGGCGCTACCTCACATCCTGCCCTCCACTCCGGACATCGAGAACGCAGACGTGACGCCCGTGCTGCCCTTCCTCTACCTGGGCAACGAGCGCGACGCTCAGGACATCCACTTGCTGCAACACTTGAACGTGGGCTACATCCTCAACGTCACCACCCACCTGCCGCTTTTCCATTACGACGCCGGCCTGTTCGTCTACAAGCGCCTGCCCGCCACCGACAGCAACAAGCAGAACCTTCGCCAGTACTTCGAGGAGGCATTTGAATTCATTGGTAGGAAAACATCGACTCGGATGGAAATCGCGCTACATAGGCCTGACTTGATTTTCATGACACTGTTTTTTTTTTTTCCAGAGGAAGCACACCAAGCCGGTCTGGGCCTTCTGATCCACTGCCAGGCCGGCGTGTCTCGCTCCGCCACCATCGTCATCGCCTACTTGATGAAGCACACTTGGATGACCATGACGGACGCGTACAAGTTTGTCAAAACCAGGAGGCCCGTCATCTCCCCGAACCTCAACTTCATGGGCCAGCTGCTGGAGTTCGAGGAAGACCTCAACAACGGAATCACGCCACGGATCCTCACGCCAAAGCTCACGGGCGTGGAGACCATCGTCTGAAGTGTTCCAATCGCTCATTGGCTCGTGAGTAAGCCGCTATTTTGATTTTTTTTTTTTTTTTTTTGTTCCTTGACTCTCCCCTGCTCCCGAGTTCATCTCGGACTCTGCGGAGTGCCAAAGCCGTGCGTCAGCAAAAGCCGTGGGTCAGAACTGATGAGAAATGCCAAAAATCTCCCTACTGTTTGGACCTGGCTGACATCCCGGAGGAGAGCGAGAGTTGAGATGTTGAGACAAGAGCGAGAGAGAATGTCTCTCGCTTGGAAGCTTTCCATACGGGCCTGCAGAGGAGCAAAGCGTGAGACGGGAGAAGTTCACACTTCGCACTGTGGGCACACATGTTGGCGGAGCTGGCCAATGGTGTTGCCAGTCATTTAAAAAAAAAAAAAAAAAGAAAATAAACAGTTGAAGACACGTCTGGTGTGCTAATGTTCTATTTTTATACAGCGGTGACCATGACAAGCCCACTATGGCTTAACTGTGCAATAATTTCTGAATGGAATGCAATCTTGATCTTCTGTGTGTGTGTGTGTGTGTGTGTGTGTGTGTATATATTGGAAACGTTTCCAGCTCTTTGCTGAATATCGCTGTCATGTCATTCATACCGTATATTCATGTTGCGGGTGCAATGCTGATTAGGGATGGGCGCTACATTTCCTCGATAGACGGCGGGAAAACATTTGTCCTGCTTCCATACCACAATCGAGCTGCTGACTTGCTCTTTCGAGAGCAGAACGAGGCTAAATTCTGGTTTCAGCCAGTCGCGTTCTACATTTGGAAGATTTTACATATGGAAGATTAAGAATGCAACCAAATTCTTGAAATTGGTCGAATCATCCATTGTCATGCCCATCCCTAATCGTTACAGGAACACGTTTTCGCCGTGGTTCTCAACTGTCGTCACCCCGGAACCTTCATCGTTTCAAAGTCACGGCTCACTTTTAGAGAAGGTAACAATAAAAATAGCCTCGGACAGATGTGAGGTATGTTTTCAAGCATATTCCTTGGCTATGAAGTCGGCTAGCCCAGCGGCTGAGCTGTACTGGATTATTTACGCGTAAAGTGTTGAAAAGTACAGTGAAAAAAAAAAAAAAAGGTGGGTCGCATTTTCTCAATTTTAGTTCGTCAAGCGAAGCGGTGGCACAAAATAAAAACATCTGGATCGAGATTATGTTTTTTAAAGTAGAAGTGTAGTCTGCTGAAAAATTGTATTTGGGTCCGGATGATTCCATTTTGGACAGCCACGCCCAAATAAGACTGAATCGAGTCAACAAACTTTTTTAAATGTAGTCGTTAAGGGCACGCTTCCTGTCTGAACTTCCAACGTCTCTGTACCGGACAGAAAAATACAAATACCGCAGTAATGTGACTTAAAAGGGGGACTTTTCCAACTTCTGATTCAAAGTCTTTTTTTTTTTTTTTATTTTGTACTGTGTCGCAAAACATCATTTTGAAGATACGAGCCCTCGTAAGTCAAGATACCTCTGCTCAAATTATTATTATAATTTTTCTGCGATCCACCCAAAATGGTCTGTGACCATGTTTGGTTCCCGGCCCACCAGTTGAGAATCACATTTGTATCTTTTGCCAAAAATCAACAAAACCACATTCACACATGGGGAAAAAAAAAAAAAACTGACAGGACATAAATTGAACCTAAAACAGGGCTACGGGTGATATTTTTATGTAACAGAATAGATGTTTTTCACTGCCTGCTTTTCTTTTCTTTCTTTTTTTTGGCTCCTTGTCATCTTCGCGCTAGCTATCTTGTAATATGCCCTTACTGAGTGTGCGGCTATTCTGCCGAATATGTCTCTTAAGCCCTGTCATGAGGAGTTGCGGTAATACACGGTGTAGCAGAGGTGAGGCGCCCACCTCAAATGAACGCAGCCCTTCCCCGCCAAGTCTGGTGTGACCTTTCGACCTTTTGACACGAAGCTACGGCCGAGCGAGCGTTTCCGCCTGGCGTAGGCAAAATGTCGCTTTTTCGCGCTGTTTCTAGTGCCTCGTTCAAATGCCTTAACTCGTTTGGGGATGGATGCGCCCGCGGCGGAGGTTTTCACCCAGAGCTTTTTCTAAGTGCGGTCTCGGTCTTCTTGCCCTTTCAGATGAAATTATTTTGAATTTTGTTGAGCGATATAAGCCGCCGGATGTGTCCTTCCGTGACCCGTCTTGACAGTCTTTGTCATTTGCATTTCGAACTCAAAATGTGGCCAGGATATGAATCATCTAGGGCTTGACTGTAATGTAAATGTGAGTCATGGGAAAATGACGAAGTGTGAATTCAACTCGATGCTATATAATATGCCCACGTCCAAAGTTGACCCTCAGCCCACCGCGTCTCAATTTTCACACTCATTGCGCATGAGGTTTTTTTTTTTTTTTTTTACTTCCTGCCTTGGTTAGGTCATTACCGGAGTTGGTGATGGAAATAGACTTTTAAGGTAAAATACTGAACACGATGACACTATCCTCAACAACAACAACCGCCCCCCCCTCCCCAATCCCCAAGTTCCATATTTCCTGGTGAAAAATTCACGCTATGCAAATGGGAAACGTTGCAGGTCGTTTGTACAAAGTAGTCAATTGTGTTTAAGGGATGCTGGCGCAACTCTTGGGCGCGCGAAGGACAGTATGCAATTATTTTGTTAGTCCCTTTGAATTCAAGTGCGTCGACGCGTCCTCACGTTGTATCGCGGCGTCTTGTCGACATGGCGCTGCGTAACTCGGAACCGCTTCGCACGGTTGGAGCTTCGGCATTTATCTTCAGCCATCAGCCTCGGGGCAGAAAAAAAAAAAATACGAGAGCTTGCCATCCTGAGCCAATGTTATTTACGAGTACAGTAATGTATGCTTTTGTTTTGCGACACATTGTTTTGTTTTGGGTATGCACTGATCTATATGACAATGTAAACAGTGTAGTGTACATTGCAGCTATCAGCTTGAGGCGACGAAGGACGCCATTTGCTCCTGCTGTGTGTGAGGGACTCGCGCGGTCCATCTGGTGCTGTCTTTTTAATCCCGCAATGCTTGTTCTTTTTCTTGTAATGATTTTCGTGTCCATAGCTTGATCTTTCTTTTCCTGCCTCACAACAATATCATGTAGAGTCTCTGCTTTGGGCTCAGAGGCTCCATGAGAATGATTTACACATTTCTATCCCCCCCTCTCCCCCTTTTGTGTCAACTGTCAAGAATATTCAGTACAATATGTGACTATACAGTATCTATTTTCTTTGTATGCGTACATTCGGACTATTTTTGCACTGACCTATGGACAGATGGATTTATTTTTCTCCACAAAAGGGTGCTATTATAACGGAGGCCTTCTCCCTCACCTTTTTTTTTTTTTTTTTGCATGACTTGCTCCGAATTCGTCCACTTGTCTGTCATCCCTTGGACTTCGACGACTGCTCCTCCTCGAACGGTTACCACTGAAGCACTGTAATTTTTGTAATCTCTACTTGTGAGCTTTGAAAATAAACAGGGAGGCTTCGAGTTTGGTTTCTCACCCCCCCTTTTTTTTTCTTCTAATTATCAAAGAAGCTCAGACCAAACTGCAGCTTGTATGTGGCTTATTAAAATGGAAGATGTAGACTCTGTAGCATTCTTTTTTTTTTTTTTTTTTTTTTTTTTTGGGCCATCTCTAAACTCCCATAAATTCCGTGTCATTTAGAAATATTCAAAATGTCTCAAACGTACGGTGTTGCCTCAACAGTTCACTTTGGAATCGAGTTTGGGTTTAGTTTATTGTTTCGAAAAAGAGTGCCAAAGAGCGGTTCCAACATATTGAGTTATTTGGCGAGAACATTTTCTTTTTTTTTTCTTTTTTTTTTTTTTGCGCTGAAGTGACAGGTATTAATTTTCCCCCCCTTTGGGCAAATGGCCAATGCGTAGATGCCGCTTCCAAGACGCGGGACATTCCCAAACGTTGTAAGCCTCAATAACAACAACCCAAATGTAACAGCATGTATTTCGAGAGAAAGCGATATCGCCCTCGTGAAACGTGAGCGTCTTCACGGCACGACTTGAGAATGAGCTGCGCTCCCCTCTTTTTTGGAACATGTGTCACGTCGCTGCCGGGCCTATATTTATTCAGGCGGTGGGGGAGGGGTCGCCGGGGTCAACATCCCACCATAGGAACAGGCACCAAAATAGTGGTTAGCGTTGTTACTAATTACGATTTGATGAGCGCCCCGCCTCATTAATCCTTCCCTATCAGCACTGGGCAGGCTGGCAGCCCCAGAATAGAACTGATCTTTCCAGCGAGCCCCACATGGACGTATTAGGCAAAACGGGCCCGAGAGGAGGGCCTACCTTTTCCGAAACACACACACGCATGCCGACACACAAGCGTGTGCATGACCTCACAACAACAGAGGACGCGGTGAAATGAAACAGAGGAGCTAGCTGCGTGAGGCCCCGGGACGGCCGCGCTGGTTATCATCAAAGCAGCCCCCCTCGCACCCAACCCAGGAAGACGCGCTCATACGACGTGGCACGCTACATTCCGCCGCCTCAATTTTGCACTTTGACACAATGGCTTTTTTTGGAAACGCTCGCGATCCAATAAACACAGTGCCCTATTTGTAGTAAGTGTAAATGGTCCCCATTTTTTTTTTCTTCTTGAATATTTATGACGAAAGCTCCACCAGCTGATGTTGTAATGAAGCCGCGGCAATGATGTCATTGGCAGCGCCCTGGAGCAGGATTCCAAAACGTTTTCATTTGACCGATGAGTAAAGTATGCAGTCCATTCTTGGAGTAAAAAAGGGAGTAAGGAATGATTCCAAAACATAGCCACCGCCTCACTCCCACGGCAAGTAAAATGGCAAATCGAAGCAAGGTTTTCTTGGAATGAGATGAGAAAATACACGCCGACCGTCACAACCTAATGAGATTCGGCCATCCATTCATCCATTTTCCATACCGCTTGTCCTCATTATTGTCACGGGCTGGAGCCGACCCCGGCTGACCTCAGGCGAGGCACACGGTACATTCGAGCGGTGTCGCGCCAATCGCAGGGCCCATGTAGACAAACTAACACTCACACACACACACCTAAAGTTCCTGTTAAAAAAAAAAACTCAAATGTCTTCTCAATTTGGCACAACACAAACAAGAGGATCCAGAACAACCATGCCAAATATGAATGATCAAAATCGTTGCCAGGTATGTAAAACAAGGCTGCAAAATATATTCCACTGGGCTTTTCCATGCCGCGACAACGAGGCACTCTAAAGCGGCTCAACACCCTCACAACTCCTGCTCACCCACTAGCTGTCAAGTCAGATTTAAAATAAAAATAAAAAAAACAACATACATCCAGGATATTGTGTATCAATTATTTGTGACACTTGCTTTGTATCTCTCCCATGTACAAATCAGCACCGAAACTTTTGATATTCACCAATAGATCATTGAGCAGCATTACGTAAGCTCCCGTGTCTGTTGTGCTTTTTGTTTTGATCCCCACGTTTCATTATCTATGCGCGCATGCATCTAAATAAAGCAATGAGCGGGCATGTGTGTGGATGAAGACCGCTGACGCAAAATCGACTTTGAAAGAAGAGCGACATCATCGGCTGCGTTCAAGGACAGAGTCTTGAATGAGGTTGCGGTTACCATGGAAAAAAGTCTCATGGCACGGCACCAAGACTGCAACTTAATGCACCAGCAAAATGGGACAAAAAAAAAATAACTTGACGGATATATTAGATCACTCGGTTTCGGGTGCGAGTTTTGCACGAGCAAGACGACATTTACAGTTCGAGGGGTAACTGGTAGGGGTATCTCCAGTGATGATGTAACACACCCTGGCAGGAACACGATTAAGTCCGAAATGGGCAGAAACAGTTTGTCTGTCATTTTTCAGCAAGCCGCAGCAAAGGCATTTGGGTTTTCGACGGGCTGAGTCAAACTCAGACCTTATCGAGGATGCATTTTTACCCGCTGAAAAGACGACTACATGAACTGACGTTCTGGAAAAGCACCACAAAAAGAAGAACTTGTCTTATGTCTAACATTTGATGTCATACCTCAATATTTTTAGTCTCCTGCCCCAAAAAAAAAACAAAAAACAATTGGCCACGCTGTTCCAATACATTTGGAGGAGAGTGTCGCTTGATGACCGGTAACGGCGCAGCTGTTGTTTGTGAGGTCGCCGAGGAAACGGAGGTCATTAACGGCCCTATCGAGTTACATGACGTTACATCCGAAACCTCCGCGTCTTGGGAGTCAGCGACCCTCAACTTTGCACCGCACCTCACTGTCTACCTATCGTGACTCAAAGCGACCGACTGCATGCGGACGGCATGTGTGCGCTAAAAAGGTCAAATCTGTTCGGACTCACGGGAGCAACCCCGAGCTATATTTGTCCCACGATGGCTATCAAGGAAAATATAGACATAGAGTAAGTGTTTTGGGACGGTTACGGTGAGCGAAGAGACCAAATAAAATGTTAGTTATCCGCTCCCACATGCTTGAAACACATTTACACTTCATCATAGTCAGTATCTCTAAAAATTTCCATGTTCGCCCATAAAATTTGGGAATAAGGGCCTATTGTGCTCCTTGGATAGAAAAAAAAAAAAAACAGTCAAATGTATGCAACCCCCACAGCAATGAGTTGAAAGGGATTTACGGAAGCGAGTTCAGCAAATGTCTTAAAACGGCTTTTCTCATCTGTGGGCTGTTATTTGGTAAAAATGATGCGTACCCCCGGTGATTCCCCCACTCTAAGCTTTGAGCCTGAATCAACGCCGGTTGTGTGTGCGCACGCGCACGCACGTTTGTGTGAGTTGAGGCGTTCAAGCAAAATGAGGCCAGTAGTTAAAATAATGTATCTGGAGCAGAAGAAGGGGAAGAACTCTACATTGTGCTGTATCATTATTCATTATTCACAGACTTTGTGGCCGAGGGTGTTTTTTTTTCCAAGTTAAGCAGTTTTGCGATGATAGCAACAATTTAAATGTTTTCATTTTCTATGGCGCTTTTCCTCATTTTAGACGTCTATTCATCTGACGACTGGCATGGAATTACTGATTGAAGAAATGTCAATATTTCACCAAAAATGTTAGCACATGCTAATCTGTGCTCGTGTACAAGTTGGTGCTGATTTAAAAAAAAAAAAAAAATTGGGCTTGCTCCTGCTTTGGCGGAAGTCTACTCCCTTCTTGGTACTATGTGCAGATATAACTATTTTTGCCAGCCCTATTCCTGTGCCCCACTGCCCAAAAAGAGCGTGACTAAAGGTCATTCCTCTAAGAATAACGCACATGATGATCGCAGATGTCAGGCGGTAGTCGTAAACTACACCCAGTCATCAGTCACGTTTAAAATGATTGATGACATAATTAAATGTTAGTCTGACGGCCCGGATGCTAGTAAGCGGTCACGTTTAGGTCTCGACACTCCTTGAAAACATTCCCTCTCGTGATTCACGAGGCGAATCAGGAGGTAGTAGCCGCAGCGCCGGCGCGTTTGTAGACAAGGCCGCGTGTGTAGCAGACGTGCGTTACATTTTGATCAAGTCGCCGGAGGGAGCGGTAGAGCTTCACCTCACGCCACCTAAATCCTCAACGCGGCAACTCGGCAAGTCTACGTGACATATGGTCGGGCGTCGCCGCGCCGAGCTGTGTTCCGCGAGTCGGGCGGCGGTGACTCATATTCAAAACAAACCGCTCGACGCAGCGCCAAGGCGCAACGGCGAGCCTTCGCTCCGCTCGGCCGCTCGTGGATTTGATCTCGTGCCGGAGCCTGCAATTTGAACTCGCTCGGATCCGGCAATGCTTTGCCCCCCCCTTCTCATTCTTCAGCGCCGCTCTAGATGTCGTATCTGCATATTTACACAGACACCGCCACGGTGTCATGCCATCTGTGATCATTTTACACGGCGTGAAATAGGCCAAGGCGGCCTGTCTCGCTCTCTCCGTCTCCGTCTCACTCTTGCCATGCCGGGCTGCCCTGCTTGTATCACCTGATCCACTTGCATTAGGGACAACGATTCATAAAGTTGACTCAAGCTGAGATCCTCAACTGCTGGGTCGGGACCCAAATGTGGGTCACGGACTTAGTATGCGTGAACTGACACAAAACGGCGCACAATGGACGACTATTATGCTACTGTAAGATTGGAACAACACACAGCTATCCTGTAAACAAACACAGTGCAGCCCAGCCTCTGCTGTCAGACATCTTGGCTGATGGATGTGCTTTTTGTGCTTCGTCAAACGTATTCGAACGTCAGTGCAGATGGAAAAGAAACCAGCACGTTGCGATGGTAATTTCCAGCGGCATTTTAATTAACAGCCACTCACGTACAGTAAGGCACACCACTCTTCAGAAAGGCTTCCTGATGAAGCTCCCTCATGAAGAAAAGCTTCAGAATAAAACGTGACGGGTTTGCAAAAACAAAAAAAAAAAACGGTACGAATCGAGATAGGAATGCAGACAGACGTTTCGTTTCCACTTTGGGCAGTGTGAGTCACATTTGACAACAGATTACAAATTAGAGACATCTATTTTTTTTTTTTTTAAGTCTTACATCATCCGTCTGGTTACTTTGGAAGCGTGCTTCGAAAAAAAAATGTACAGCTCTTTCATGTAATGTTGTCATCTAGTGAGACATTTTGTGATTTGTTTTCTTGTTTGTGCAATCATTTGTGTTTTAAGGACATGATTTAACGTGGCACTAAGATGACTGATGTCTTTTAGGCTTTGTGTGTGGCGCCGCCATCAAAGCAAGTCGTCGCATTCATCTCCTGCCTCCATCTTGTCAGAGTCTAACGCTGCAGATTGAAGAAATTTCATCTTGTCTTGTCAGCAATTTTGGGGGGGGACGTGCACTTCGTGGCATTGTCGCCGCTGTGCCATATTTTCTTGCTTGGAAATTCTTGTCTACCCTTTTCCTGACTGATACCTTTGAACGAGGCCATCGTCTGATGATGTGGCAGCTCTGTGGAGTCGACGACAAAAAAAAAAAAATGTCAGAAAAGCCTACTAGAACAACCGGATGTGATTTGGGGGTGATTCAGAGGCACGTTCGCTGCACGGCAGCCGTGTGCTGACTCATTTGAAATGGGTACGAATGGAATTGGGCCATTGTCCACACACACAATCCATTGCACTACAATAAAATGTTATATGAACATTTTTTTTGGGGGGGGGGTAGCGTTTTAACCCCAACATGTGTGCCACATTTTGAGTAAAAGTAAAAAAGACAGATCAAGAATACGTTAAAGAACGGAGCACGAGTGAATGACATTCGACGAGACCAAGTTGAACATGTGTGCTCTTCTCTCTGAGAGCACTTTTGATCTTTTTGTTTGCTTTTTGGTGCCATGTTTTGTTTTTTGTTTTTTTTTTAATTATTACCCGAGAGGAGACATGAGTGCAGCTGATTCAGGGCTTTTTATAAATAACTCAAACTGTGTGTCAAGGAGCAACAGTGCAGCTGAAGCTGCCTGCAGGCCTCGTCACAACCGTGCAAAAATGTTGGAAGCTGCTGCACTCTTGTGGACGGTATCGTGATATACCGTAGTCTATTTTCACCCAACAGGCAGCTTGTCAGTTGGACTCTTATCTAAAAGTACACGAGCATGATTTGCTTCTCATGATAGTTTTTGCCGAAACGGTAACGTGCCATTTCCATATATACCGTCACTTTCATTGACTGCTTTTGTTTTAGATGCCAGGTTTTATTTCCTGGTCTTCATACTTGGCTGACATTCATTTCTAGAGTGAGGAGTGAGCTTGTGGGCCGGAAACTGCAAAAAAATATCTCTTTTTTTTTTTTTTTAAAACACGATTCACATGGAGAGCATCAGAGAATGAGCCGAACCAACACTTTTGGATATGAGGCTTTTTGGCCATCGTAATAAGACAGACTGCCGTGTCCAAAGGCTAAAGAACAATAACAGGCTATGCTAATGTTAGAAAGACTGTTTCATTTTGTTAATTGTGGCCTTCAACCAAAAAGTGACCAATGGTGGTCAGAACCCCAACTGACCACCAATTTGCCGCTGCCGGCGGGAAACGTATCAGGAGTGAAAATGTCAAAGCTGCCAACTGAACACATTGCGCTTGTCTCCGGCCGTGCCTTTCTTGTTATTGCGGTAAAAGTGCAGCATAAATTGCCTCGGCAGTCGTGAAGGTCTCGAAGACACACAAAGTGCAAATCACCCGTGCTCTTCCACTCCAACGTGATTTGTATGCTAAACAAGTGACGCCGCGCATCATTGTGCTTGCCGTTTGCTCCCCCTTGACGCAGAGCTCAACTGATTTGACGGGAAGAGCTATGACAGGCCGTGGGATGGGGGGGCACGGCGGGACAGAGGGACACTGCAACGTGCAATAAAAGTGTCATTTTTCACCTCCTCCGTAAACAGCTCGTAATGTTGAGATGAGCCATTGCCTATTATGGGCTCCATCCAGCCGGTGACATCAGTAAACGGAGCAGGCGAGCAGCCGCGTGAGCGACAGCTGAATCAATGCCTGGAGAGTCTGGACTAGCTCGGCCCTTCGTAACCCAGGTAAGACAAGGCGCTTGTTATGCTTGAGCCTGGGAACCGAGCGACGCTCGGACGCTTCTCAAGCTGCCTTGCGAGGAACAAACTTTGGGGAGGTTGGATCGTGAATATTGCAGAGGTTATGGGGTTATGGGACAGCTTTATTACTTTGACAAATACCATTTGTCCGTGGGGGCTTGAGGTGGGAGGACAGGACAGCCGTATGCCTGCTTCGATTGCCGTGCAAAGAAAAGGCCGCTGAACTCTTTCCTCCCCTGTGTGACTTTTGAGTCACCCTTCAGAGTGTGCGTCTTCACCAAATGAGAATTCATCTTCGGGAGCCCACGGTTCAGCCAGCAGTCACATCTCCTGATTGGAGTGGGGGTGAAAGGCTGAAGGAAGTTGGGGAGAGGGGGGGGAGATATTGTGACTTGGATGACATACTTGAGGACCTTTTTCTTCTATTTGCTGACATTTCCAAGGAGATGAGACAGGCAACGTTGCCAAATTGCACTGTTAGGTTTTGAAAGGGGAGATTTATTGGGACAGGACAACTTTTGTATTTTGAACTCAGCAGCTATGAGCAGCATCGCGAAAGGCGCACACAGGCGCCCTCTTGTGGACAACCGGAACACTGCAGGGTAAACCCAAGCACAACGCGTCGGCAATGCTGTTAACTCGTCACTTGTCGAGCGATGCTTTCTTCTGCAGTTTCCTAGTTGAGTTCGGCACATTTAAAGCGCTTGCTCATTTTTTTTATATTCTATTTCAATTTGATAATCACACTTCAGCTTAGTTTTCAAAAGGAGGTTTCTGAGAAAGCCCTCCCAAGATGATTTTGCCCGACATGAAACAGGAGTTCCAAATTTGTGTCAATCACCACGCGTTATGGTGATGTGTGGATTGACCATCGGGTGGCACTGCAAAGTTTCCAACAAAACGAGACTTTTTTTCTTTTTTGTAAGTGTTAAAACAACAGATTAGCTTCACTGGCTGCAAAAGTGAAGGCCGCTAATGTCCTCCGTCCCGCTGTTTGGAGAACAGGATGATGGATTCAAGCGGGCCGGCTTGCCAAATTCACAATTCTGTTCCACATTGCGAGTGCATCAAATCTGTCGTATCGTTTTAACTGCTTTTCAACTCAACCTTTTTCCATTGCGCTCGAAATGTTGGATCCACCTCGTTCCATTCCTCAGCCCTTCGCTCATTTGATGTTGAACTGACATCACGTCCAACATAATGGACAAGAGGACAATGAAATGTTTCTCTCTTTGTTTTTTGTTTTTCTAATAAGAAAAAGAAGCCTTTGGGACAATGGCGGATCCAATGAATATGACAGCTGATAAAATGCATCTTGGCTCGTAAGTCCGGTTGAAAATACAGACGGATTTTGTGAGCGTGAGGGAAGACGACGTCATCACATCTGAGATTAATTACAAAAACAGTTTGGGAGGTAGCTACAGTGATTCATCATCACTGATGATTTGTGTGCTTATTGGATGTAATGTGTGTAACGCTCCCTCATTTAGATCACTGCGGAATAGATAGTATACAAATGATTTAAGGGGACGTTCTAAGGAAAGTTGACTTTTGAAATGGTTGTTAATCAAATAGTTGCGTCTCCAGAGCGCCTGCCTCCCCATCCCGAATGGAATAACACTAACAAGTAAATAGTGTGTTTTCAGCCTATTTGAAAGTTACACCCCACTGTTATGTAAACAGCGTCAAAGTCAAAAGGTAAGCAGAGCTGCGTTGCATACTTCCTGCTAAAAAGAAAGAAGAAAAAAATACTGGCAACGGGAGTTTCCAGTATTCTTAGTTTCAGCGTGTTGGCCGTTGTATCAGAGGCAAATACTGGAAAGCGGAACCTGCAGACAACAATATGAATGAATGAGCGGCACCCGGCTCACCTGACCAACGGATACGATCTCTTTTTGCCAATGAAAAAAGCAGTTTTGGCGAAGAGAGCCAGTCTTTTGACCTATTTAGAGACAACGTTGCCATTCCCTGGGAAACAAAAACAAGCTGAATCATAACGAGTCCCATTTCATGAAGAAATGCTCGTGGAAGCAGCCAAAGTGTCAAATGTTGAGGAAACGTTGACCCGCCCGCCGGACTAACGGGCGTTTGGGGGCCCTCCCCTGCATGATCGCACTGGGTGGCAGGGCTTTGGCACGCCGCTCTAAAGCATGACTTCTTGGTGGTGTTAATGGATTTACTTAACTCCCGCGCCTTGACTGGTGTTTTCCACTGAATTAAAGTGTCAGGGCCCACAAATCAGCCGGGACGACTGCGGGGCCTTGCGAGCCGCGTGTCCTTTCTGAACGGGTTGTTCACTGGACGCGTGAAATTGGAGCCGTTAAAGTGACCCGGTGCTACCGAGGCCCAGTTTATGCTTCCGTTGACTTCGACGTGGAAGCCATCGCCGGCTCACACAACGGCGCCGGCACACATCCTCCTAGGACAGCCATCTTCCGACAAACCCCACAAATTCGGATTCCGTGCACATGTTATAGCGATTTCCTGTCCGCAGATTAGTTTTGCTTGTGTACGTTACACAATACCTATTTGGTGGCCGCAGGTGAGTATTTTGCGGCAACAGATTAGCATTGCGAGCACACATTATATCTTTATGGCGGCTGCAATTAAATTTTTCGCTTTAGTCAAAAATAAATAAATAAAAGTCTCGTCATCACAACTTGTCTCACTGTGTTCCATTTAAAAGTAGCTTACTCTACACTGGCAGTATAACCCAGTTTATTGAAAGGTTTTTGTTTTTTTTTTGCAAGTAAAATAAAAAATAAAATGTAGTTTTGTATATATACACACACACACACACACACACACATACATATACACATTTACACGTATACACATACACTCATATATACAGATATATACACACACACGCACACACCTCCTCCTTTCGGCCTTGTCGGGTTTTGGCAAAACCGGAACATTTACTAAATGAATTGAGTAATGGAGAAATCCCTTGGCATCCGCGTTCCCGAAGAATTTCCATATTACAGCATGCGATACTCCCTGTTCACAGCGCTCCGACGCAGCCAAGCAGCCCCGTAACTGGATCGCCAAAGGGATTCGACTGCAGCAGATGCAGCTCAGTGCTGGAAGATCAACGCTGAATGTCTCCTGCTATTTTTTTATTTTTTTTTCATTTACGCTCATTAGGGCGGCACATAACTCAGTACTCCATTATCACTTCGGCAAAGAGCCACTGGAGGCCGGCAACTCATGCAACTGTTGCAAGGTTGATCAACAGTTACAGCTCCAAATATTTTCGTTCTGAATGGGCAATGCTGAAGGCCGAGATCTCGAGGTGTGTGCGAGCGAGTTGTTCCGCACCCCACTTTTTTTTTTTTTTTTTACAGTATTTGGCTGTATCGCAGACATTTTTAAATTGCTTTTTACAGTACACAGTACAAGCAAA